CCCCCCCTGTCTTCGCCCTTCTTCTTGCTCTCTGCTCCTTCGTCAGCTAGCGGTTTTGAGATAATAACAGATGCGACAGCTCTCTTCTCCACTGCCAGCTACCGGCTGCCTCCGAACACAACGCACCCTGATCATGAACGTATACAAGCGATTTTTCCGGCCCGATACAGTCATAATGAGGGTGCGTTGTGCTCGGGGGAGGAAGGACGGTTGTGAAATGACGAGAGGGAGACAGCGTGCTCTTTCTCCTTCTTGCTCTCGGAGACGCACTTCTTCTCCTGACTGCTGAGGTGATGCCACGTGTACCTAGCTCCGTCCGCTCGGGGGAAGGCCCTTCCGTTTGCTTCCGTTTGCTTCCGTTTACTTCCGTCTCAGTTCGCTCTCTTGCACCAGCACAACTCTCTTTTCTTCGAGTGATTCGAACACTCTGCCAATAGGACAGGCCCTTCCGTTTGCCTTCCGTTTGCTTTCCGTTTGCTTTCCGTTTCCTTTCCGTTTGCTTTCCGTTTCGGTTCGCCCTGGGGAAGGCCCTTCCGTTTGCTTCCGTTTACTTCCGTTTCAGTTCCCCTTCTTGCACCAGCACAGCTCTCTTCTTCTAGTGAACACTTCTACAATAGGAAAGGCCCTTCCGTTTGCTTCTGTTTGCTTCCGCTTGCGTTCCGTCTGCGTTCCGTTGCTTTCTGTTTGCTTTCCGTTTGCTTTCCGCTTGCTTTCCGTTTGCGTTCCGTTTGCTTCCTCCGTCAAATAGGGAAGATCCTCCCGTTTGCTGCCGTTTGTTTCGCCGTGGTAGGCCCTTCCGTTTGCTTCCGTTTGCTTCTCCGTTAAATAGGGAAGACCCTTCCGTTTCTTCCGTTTGCTTCTCCGTCAAGTACGGAAGATCCTTCCTTTTGCTGCCGTTTTTTGCCGTTTGTTTGTCCGTGGAATGCCCCAAAGCCTCCCGTTTGCTTCCGTTTGCTTCCGTTTTTTCGTTGCCGTCACGTCTTTAGGCCATCCCATCTGCCAAGGTACACGTGTCAGAAGAGACGCGCGCTTCCCTTTTTTTTTCTTTTTTCCCTGAAACGTCTGTAGGAGGAGAGAGGAGGAGGGAGGAGGAGTTAAGAGCAGCAAATCCAAGAGATACGCCGGGATCTCCTTTTCTATTCTTCTATGAGTACGCGGAGGACAACAACGACCACACGATCACAACCAACGATCTTTATTTCATATTTAATTCAAATTAATTGATATTTTAAAAAGCAAAGAAAAGATTGTCACGTCCGAATATTATTTTGACGAATTGACAATTAATTAATGATTAATTGATAATCGATAATTTAAAGCAAATAAAAGATTTTCACGTCCGAAAATTAATTTGACGAATTGACAATTAATTAATTAACAATTTTTGTAACATACGGCAATGAAAGGCAATGATGTCGTTCTGCTCCCATCGTGGCATTTTTTTTTTTATGATTATTATTATAAATAAAATCAGTGATGTTTTTGAAAACATCAAAAAAAAAAACAAAAAAAAAAAAAAGCTGTGATGCCGGGATGACGATTGATGACGATTGATGACGATTGATGACGATTGATGATGATTGATGATGATGATGATGATGACCAGAACGCTTTGTCATCATCGCCATCATCATCATCATCATCTTCATCTCATCATCGCCATCGCCATTGCATTTTAATTATTCCAAGAAAAAATGAAAAATATTCAGCTAGGCATCATCTTCGTCTCATCGATCACTAATAATGAAATTTTTAATTATTAAAAAAAACAAATGAAGAATATTCCGTTAGGTAAAACATCATACCTCTACTTCAGGAGGAAATATTTACATCTCCTCTCCACTTTTTTTTTTTTTTTTTTTTTTTACATCTCCTCTCCTCGTGTGTATTTCGTGGTCCTGAATTAATTAAGCCAGCTAGTTTAATAATTAATAATTCTACTTCCTAATCTTGAGGAATAGGAAGACAACTAGGTGCGCTGAACATGCTTAAAGATTAGAAGCTTTTTTCTTTTTCTTATTCTTTTTTTCTTTTTTTTTTAAGAAACGGAAAAATAATTTGGACCATTTCTCGATTTATGCGTGTCATCCGTGGAGGCGCAGGGGCCATTTGCTAATATACCCTTCTCTGTATCGTTCCAATTTTGACGAATGTCCCGAGGGAATAGAATCTTGGGACTAGTCCATTGGGACTAAAACCTTTTTGATTTTTTTTTTGTTTTTTTTTTGGTAGAACCTTATTTTCAATCAGTACCCCCAATGGACTTCAGATGGTTTAATAAAAAAATCAGCTATTGCACTTCTGAAGGAGGACACACACGCACACTCAAAAAAATCGTACAGAAAAATCTTCTCCACACACACACACGCACACAAAAAAAAAAAAAAAAAAAAAAAAAAACTTTAGCATTATAAGGAGTAGTTTGTGCTTTTTCTTTTTTTTTGGTGCTACTCCTTATAATGCTGAAGGTTTTTTTATTAAATCAGCTATTCGCAACGAAAGTCCAATACTTTTTTTTTTTTTTTTAAACATGTTCTTCTTTACAATGTTAAGAAAAATAAAACCACAGAAAGAAAGAGTACTTTTTCTTCCTCTTGAAAAAGCTGAATTAGTACGTTCGACATTTTATTTTTTTAATAATTAAAATTTCATTGTGGTTATCGTAACAGGTAACTGAATATTCTGAAACTTTTCGTAATAATTAATTAATTATTTTTTTTAAATAAAGTTTTCTTTGTCGTTATCGATGAGACGAAGATGATGATGATGATGATGATGATGATGGTATTAATAATAATAATGATCCTGATGATGATTCAGTCATGAGCAGAGCGGCACATTATATTGTAGCTATTTCTCCTACTGATGATGATGAGGAGGAGGAGGAGAAGGAGGAGGAGGAGGAGGAGGAGGAGGAGGAGGAGGGGAAATGACGAAGAGTAGTGGCAAGCCGTTCCCACGGTCTTCAACCGATTACAACGCATCCTGATCATGAATCTGTATAAAGCTATGTTTCCGGTCGCATGCACTCATCAAAAGAAGGTGCGTTGTGTTCGGGGGAAGTTGGAAGAGTCCATCAGCGGCTCTCGTCAGTCCAACGGCCACGTGTTTGATTGCAATCAAACGCGTGTTCCTCCTGACTTAGTCCCTGCCACGTGGCGGCTGGTCCTTTCCGTCTAGTAAGAAGGAGGAGCAGGAGGAGGAGGAGGAGGAGGAGGAGGAGGGGAGAGGGAGGGAGGGAGAACGGGGACCACGTCGCCCTATCTTGTTTTCCTCGTATGTCTCTCTCAGCACGTCCCGTTCTTCTGACTGGTCCTTGCCACGTGGCGGCTTCTGATTGGTCCTTGCCATGTGGCGGCTTCCGATTGGTCCTTGCCACGTGGCGGCTGTCGATAAGTTGCTGAAATGTCACTCTAGATAGACATTTCTGCGGGAAACGTATCGACAGCCTCCACGTGGCAAGGGGCATGAGCCGACACGTGTTTTTTCTTCACGCCTGCTCATCGCTTGATGCGATCAGTCGAGAGACCAGCTGACGTGTAATTAATGACACGTGTCGTTAATTAGCCGCCTCGGGTCATTCATTCCTTCCCTATCCCGATCCTTGCTAATCAGTCACTGACGAACAGAACGGACAAATAGATATATGGGCAAGGGGGAGAAAGGACTGCAGAGCAAGAGACAGAGAGAGAGAGAGAGAGAGAGAGAGAGAGAGAGAGAGAGAGAGAGAGAGAGAGAGAGAGACAGACAGACAGACAGACAGACAGAGAGAGAGAGAGAG